ATTAAGTCAAATAAAGTAATGGCGACTGGTCAAAGTTTGAGGCTTAGCCACGCCCATACCTTTATACTTATTTAAAATCCGACGGTTGAATTTTTTCCTCTATGTCTTAAGAGTATATAGCAGGAGTTTGAAGGTGATCGGTGGAAAGGGCGAGGAGATATCATTCTCCTTATAACGTGTGCGAAAACCACTTAATTGAGTAATTGCACCAAAATGGCCGACCTCCTGTGCGACATTGCGCTTGGCTCCAAGAGACTTTTTTGTAGGTCCTGAGACACTACATTAGTGTGCCAAATTTTGTGATCCTCAGTCAAAGCATGGCTTGGGGCTGACTGTTTTAATGGTCCTAGGGGGCACTGTTTTGGAAAATAGGCCACGCCCACAAACTTCAGCTGTCCAATTATATTAGGGGTCAGAGTAGGATCACTCATCAGAAATTGTGTGGCAATGTCACAATGATTGAAGAAATGAGAGACAAACGTATTTCCATGGCGTGATGGCGAATTTCGCCATGCTCCCAAAGCCCCGCCTTTATTCGAAACCTGCCAGTACTATAGACCTAGTGACCTCAACTTGTCTGCTGCTATTTGCCACTGTTTGGTGGTGATTGGATAAAAGGAGTCCAATAGGGAACTGTGAAAAAAAGAGTGGCGTGGCGACAAGTCAGAGTTTGAGGCTTAGCCACGCCCACACCTTTATACTTATTTAAAATCCGACGGTTGAATTTTTTCATCTATGTCTTAAGAGTATATAGCAGAAGTGTGAAGGCGATTGGTGAAAAGGGCGACGGAGCATCACTCTCCAAACAACGTGTGCGAAAACCACTAAATCACGCACTTGGACCAAAATGGCCGACTTCCTGTGCGACTTTGCACTTGGCTCCAAGAGACTTTTTTGTAGGTCCTGAGACACCACATTAGTGTACCACATTTCGTAATCCTCAGTCAAAGCATGGCTTGGGGCTGTCAGTTTTAATGGTCCTAGGGGGCGCTATTTCAACAAATAGACCACGCCCACCGGAATGTCACATCAGATTTTTTGGGGGGCCGGACTAGCATCACTCACAAGAAGTTTCGTGGCGATATCTCTAGAAATGACGAAATGGGAGGCAAACGTAAGGCCTAAGTGGTACGCCTGAGTTCGCCGCGCCGCCACAGCCCCGCCTTCTGCAGAAAACTCCCATAAAGTGACGCCAAGCAACCCCAACTTGTCTTCAGTTACCTGATACAAATTTGGGATGATTATTTGAAAGGGCAAATTTTGGAAAATTTCCCAGTAAAACTTGACCTTTTAAGTCCTGAAGGGGCGGGGCTTATGTGACATCATCAATTGACCATTCATTTGTCTTCGGGGGGCGATGATGATTGTCCATAGAAAGTTACTTTAACTGTAATTCTTTCATTTATGAAATTATAGCAATTTGAATTTTTTTGGCGAGTGCTCGAACTTTGAGGCCTGGTCCCGCCCCTTCAGTATTTACGAAAAGTCAATTTTATTGTCTCATTTTAATCGTCCGTCGCTTCTGTTCGATCGCACACTATTTTTGAGACGATCGTGCGAAAAATGACCAAACTGTTCAACCAAATATAGACCCAAGAAATGGCCGAAACAGGGTCAAAATGGCCACTTTAGTCCAAAATGGCCGACTTCCTGTTTGATATTGACCATGGATGCAAGAGGCTTTTCTGTGCGTATTGTTGAGTTCTACAAGTGTACCAAATTTCATAACTGTACGATAAACTAAGCTTTATGGAGAGGGGTATTTTTCACTTTCTAGGGGGCGCTGTTCAGCCATTCTTTTATGAACTTTCACATTGCCAGTGAAATACGTAAATTTCACGCACTTTCAATATTGGGCCAGAATTTGGTGACTTTTTGGATATGCTAAGACCCCCTAAAGGCCAGTCAAAGACGCGGAAGAAAAAAGAAAGAAAGAAAGCGTAATAATAAACGGAGCAGATACAATAGGCCTTCGCAGCTTCACTGCTCGGGCCTAAAAATAATAAACGGAGCAGATACAATAGGCCTTCGCAGCGCTTCGCTGCTCGGGCCTAATAAACGGAGCAGATACAATAGGCCTTCGCAGCTTCACTGCTCGGGCCTAATAATAAACGGAGCAGATACAATAGGCCTTCGCAGCGCTTCGCTGCTCGGGCCTAATTAAAAAATTCACACTTTAATAAAAATTATTTTAAGTAAAAGCTGCTATTGTAAGGTGTCCAGACGGCAATACAACATTAAAATAAAGAAAGTGTATTCCAAAGTCAGAGTGCATCAGCCTGGAAGGAGCGATCACCTCGACTTTTATATCTGATCTTTGGAACTTCTAGAATGTTCTGGTGGGTGGACCTGAGCGCTCAGGTTGGAGTATAAAGCTTTAGCAGTTCAGTGATATAGGGAGGAGCTTTACCACACTCAGTTAGTGCTCTTCTGTTTGCTCCAGTTTTAGCCTCGCTGCAGAATTCTGGACCAACTAAAGGGATTTTTTTATTAAAACATGTGAAAAGTGTGTTACAGTAATCTAGACTGAATGAGATAACGGCATGGATAACCATTTCAACTTCATGTCTGGACACCAGAGGTGGAAAGAGCACTAAAATGTTGTACTTAAGTACAAGTATAATTACTTTCATGAAATTTTACTCAATTACAAGTAAAATTACCTGCCTCAAAATGTACTCAAGTAAAAGTAAAAAGTAGCTTATTTCAAATGTAGTCAGAGTAAAAGTTACTTAGTTACTTTTTTGACTGCAAGGACGGGCTCTTCTGAATAGTTAAAAAAAGACAATGGGTTATAAATCTCAAAGTGGCCGTTTTTTTATTAAATGAACAAATATGCATATTGAAGTACAAAGGCAGTTACACTGCAAACTAGTAACATAAATTAGGTTATAGTCACAAACCCATGACTATTCCCTGCAGTCAGGTCCAGCAGGACCAGAACAGAACAGTCCCCTGCATCACTGTGAGTCAGAAGGTCATTAGAGACCCTAAGAAGAGCTGTTTCAGTAGAATGAGCTCTACGAAAACCTGACTGGAAGCTATCATAGATGTTATGTTCATCAAGAGCAGCTGTGAGTTGTTTAGCCACAACCTTTTCCAAGATCTTGGAGATGAACGGAAGTTTGGAGATGGGTCTGAAGCTGTTATGGAGAGAGGCGTCAAGACTCGGTTTTTTAAGAAGCGGGTGGATTACAGCATTATTAAAGTAAGCAGGGACCTGACCAGAGACCAGAGAAGCATTAATTATAGAGAGCACGCTGGGACCGATGGACTGAAAAGCACTTTTAAACAAAGATGAGTGTAGGATGTGATGACTGTTGCTTGACTTGCTCCGCCCCAGCCTCTGCCATCTGGTCAAGGTGTCTTCTCATATTGATCAAACCTGTTGAATGACAAATACATAACACATATTTAATATATCTGGCAATTAAGTTTTGATAGAAGATGCAACAAGAATTGTTTTTAGTAATACATGCCTTGCAAATACTATAATTTGTGTCGACAGACTCGCATAATTGAACTTTAAGTATGTTGACGGGACTGAAATGAATAAGACACAGATTAAGGTATGATATTAAATTACAAAAAATTACCTGCTTCAATGATATCGTGCCTCTCAGTCCAGGTGGTCTTGAACTTTGGAAGAAGGATTGCAGCAGCAGTCAGCTCAGGGTCTTCCATCATCTCACCAAAGTGCTTTTGGACACCATCCTGAATGGCTCTGAAGAGTGGCTGACACATCTTGGAGACAGTCTCCAGTCTGCTGAGTTTTTCTTTTAGCTGGAAGATCACTTGAGGGGCGGGACTAGGAAGCTCAAAAATGATCAATCAGAAAAAAGAAGGAAATCCCGACTGTACCACATGACGCGGTAGATTTCTAGTTGTAGTAAAAAAAAAGCATCTGGCAATGGCGCAAACATCTTTTATTTTTTAGAACAAATGCTTTTACCGCTTCTACTTGTGGTTTTAAAGACATCTGTGTCATTTAGAATAGAGGAAAGAGCCGCAGCGAACTCCGCCGCTGTTTTCATTGTTTATGAGAAATTGAACATCGCCGTGTATGACGTGAATTAAACAGGAGGAGTCTGGCAGGCCAGGCTATCTTTCTCGTACCATTAGTGCCTATTTTCTTCTCCTACCCATCATTCATTGCACTGTAAGGTCACTGAACACATGCTTCACACTAAGAAGTTCAACTGGGAGGTCGGCAAGATGGCGGCCTGAGCAGTTCCACCTTTTCTCTGCTCCTGGTTACTTTCCTCAAAATTACTGCTTAAAACTTGTATTTTCCACCGAATCACATTGGATTTTATAGAGTTAAATAGGGCAGTCTATTAAGATGTCTAAGCTGACAGCCAACACTCCAGCTACTGCTCGGAAACAAGCGGACCACGAATATGCCATGGATATGGACCGCCAAAGTGATAAAAGACCCCAAGATTCAATTCAAATTCCATTCAAAAATACTTTATTAATCCCAGAGGGAAATTGATTGCTGTAGTAGCTCAGAATAATAATAACAATCAAGTCATCAAAGAGTTATTGTATATTACAATGGCTGTTGGCAGGAAGGATCTCCAGTAGCGGTCAGTGTTGCAGCCAAACTGAAGAAGCCTCTGACTGAAGACACTCTTCCGTTGTCAGACAGTCTTGTGAAGAGAATGCTCAGGGTTGTCCATCATTTTCTTGATTCTCTGGAGAATCCTTCTTTGCATTATCTCCTCCAGTGGTTCCAAAACTGCCGAAACTCTGGCTGAGTCCTTGAAAGGGCTTGGAGTTCCTCCATCTTGTTGGCCAGTGATCTCACATTGCCCATTATGATCGATGGAAGAGATGGTTTGAATTTCCTCTTTCTCTGTCTCCGTTTTGCTCCCGCTCTGCACCCATGCTTCTTGTGTTTTAGCTCATTTGGGATTTGTGGCTTCAGTTGAGGTATTATTTCAGCCTTTCCGATGTCAATCAGCTGCTCCCAATTGTAAAGAGCTTGTTGCCATTTTTAAAAGAGCCTTTGGTTTGATCAGAAGCGGAGCGATTTATTTTGAGCTGGTGTACTTGGTGACAGCCTTGGTGCCCTCAGACACTGCGTGCTTAGCCAGCTCACCAGGCAGCAGGAGGCGGACAGCGGTCTGAATCTCCCGGGAGGTGATGGTAGAGCGCTTGTTGTAGTGCGCCAGACGGGACGCTTCAGAAGCGATGCGCTCAAAGATGTCGTTCACGAACGAGTTCATGATGCTCATGGCTTTGGAGGAGATCCCGGTGTCGGGGTGGACCTGCTTCAACACCTTGTACACGTAGATGGCATAGCTCTCCTTCCTGGTCCTCTTCCTCTTCTTTCCTCCCTTGCCGGCGGTTTTAGTCACCGCTTTCTTGGAGCCTTTCTTGGGCGCAGACTTGGCGGGTTCAGGCATTTTAGTTCTGATATGACTAACAGACAGATGCGTTAGCTTCCTCCACACCATCTAAAGTTACCGCCTGTAAGGTACCAAAACCGAATGATGACGAGGTATCAGGTTCCGTGATCTTGGCTGCTATCAACAAACTCACGGTCAAATTTGAATCGCAGGAAGAGCGCATGAAAGACCTTGATGCTAAGCTAACACAAAACTGTGCTCTGCTACTTAACGTGGCTAAAGCGACCGAGTTCAATGCGGCTGAAATTAAAGACTGTAACCATAAAGTGAACGACATAGAAAACGAAGTGGCCAGTTTGAAAACTGAACTCACACTGTTGAAAGAAAAATGTCGTGAACTTGATAATTACAAAAGAAGATGGAACATCAAAATTAAAGGTTTGAAAGAATCTGCCAACGAAGACACACGTCAGGTTGTGGTAGACCTTCTCAAGAAGATTGCGCCGCAGTGGGCAGAGAAAATGGATGAGATTGTGGATACAGTACACCGCGTCGGTAAGAGGGAAAATGGAAGAGTGAGAGATGTCATCATTCAATTCCCTAAACAACACCATAGAGACGCCTTTTGGAAGATGACAAAAAATTCAAAGATCTGCCAAGATGCAGGCATCAGGTTAGCTGAAGACCTCACCAAGGAGGTTAAAGAAGCAAGGGAGGTGCTGTGGCCAAGGATCAAGCAAGCACGTCAGGAGGGGAAGAAGGCCTACATCCGTGGTCCTTATGGATATATCAACGGTCGGCGTATTACATAGTGTGGGAATCTATATTTATGAGGAAAAACCAGACTTATCCTTCTTTTTCCTAGAAGAACTATACGTGACTTTCTCTCTCTTTGTTATCTTTTGTTGTGAGTTTAAGTTGCTGCGAGGTTACCCAGCAGATGAATGTGTTAAAAGAAACTTTAAACTTTGGTTCTCTTAATTCTAGGGATATTAAGGACAACTTAAAACGAAAAGCAGTGTTCTTACACTGTAAAGGAAGGAACTACCAATGTGTTCTTCTACAAAAAAAAAAAAACTCACTCCTGTGCTTCTGATGCCACCTACTGGACAGCGCAATGCGGAGATAAAATTCTCTTCAGCCATGGAAGCAACCATTCAGTTGGAGTTGCTATATGCTTCAACAAATGTCCCGGCAATGTTATCTCTTTCAGATCGGACAATAATGGGCACTGGTTGACTGCGGTTTTAAAGATTGACAATTCATACATAATTCTAACCAATGTTTATGGATATAATAATGCCACAAAGAATAGGAAGTTGTTCCTAGAAATCAGTAACGTTGTTTCTGACTACAAAACTCTATATCACACAGACTTAATTCTGTTTGGATGAGATTTTAATCTCGCACCTGATAATTATTTGGACAGAGACCCATCCAAATTTAATGTTCCGCACGTTAATCCAATTTTGAATGATTTATGTAACTCTTTCTCATTGATTGATATTTGGAGAAACAATAATCCTAATAGCAAGTAATTCTCATGGATTAAACCTAATGGAATGATAAGATCAAGAATTGATCTATGGCTGGTTTCCCCACCGTTAGCCAATATAGCTACAGACGTTTTTATCTCTAATGCGCCTCTAACTGATTATTGCCTAATTTCTAATGTTGTTTGATGTAATATATATATATATATATATATATATATATTGGTTATGATTTCTGCAGGTTGATATTGAGCTAGGTTAATATTATTGTTTCTGTTTGTACGCCTGCTTTTTTTTTGTCATGCTCACAATTCAACTTTAAATATTGATTCTTATGTAAGCCTGTAAGCTTCATTGGTTAAATAAAACTTGTTATAAAAAAAAACTAAGAAGTTCAACTCACCTGTTGACCGCTCAGACATCCCTTCATTCCTTCTCACAAGCTTTGATCTTCTTAGGTGATCCTCCAGTCATCCGAGTAGTCAGTTAGTGTTTCTTATCCTTTCCTTCGTACCCCGTAACACTCTCGTAACTTAAGCACTCAGTTCTTCTGGTGCGCGCCTTCAGCGTCCGCAGCACTTCCGTGTTTGGGTCTTACCAGTATAGACATATGTATACATAGACACTTCATTAAGCGCTGGATCACTCTCGAGTGCGTTGAGATGCTTCTACATATGTATGTGTTTATACTCTCGTCTCACTTCTCTGTGGTTATGTTTGAATCCAGTGCGAACCGTGCCGACACAGTATTTTGCGATGTTGTTTTTTTTTTTTACTCGGTAACGGATAAGATAAAAAATGTAGCGAATTACAATACTTAACAAAAAACAATACTAAAGTAAAAGTAAAAGTACAGATTTTAAAAACTACTTAAAAAGTATAAATGCGCAAAAAATCTACTCAATTACAGTAACGCAAGTAAATGTAATTCGTTGCTTTCCACCTCTGCTCACGAGCCACGTCTCGATTAATTCAGTTTCCAGCTGACTCCCGACTCGGCCAAATTGGGAAAGAAGCATCTTTTGAAACAAACTTCTTTGACCTCCAGTCAAAAGCAACGCTGCAAGTGATTACAGATGAATAGCTATTTTCAGAGCTACTTCACACTTCAGACATCTAACTTGCAGACCCAGGGTTGCATCTTACTGGCCAGGGAAGCTGAACTCTGAGGAAGCTACTAATCTCTGAGTATTGTGGTTTCAATGTCCGGTGACCTCACCACTCCGACCGCACCCCTCCGGACCGCTGAGAGCAACTCATACCAAGGGTATCATAGCCTGCATCAGGGGCGTCGGACTGGGGGGGGGGGGGGGGGGAGGGTACCGTTTACCCAGGGTCCACTGCAGGGAGGGGCCCTGAGACAGCTTTGAATAAAAATGTTTTATTGTTGTTGTTTTTTCCCCCCAACTTACTAAATGTCTTAATAAACTTCCCTTTAACTGGATAAAGAGGTTAAGAAACAGAATTTCGCCTTAAAAATAATAACTGAATAATCTCTGAGGCATCTATCACCCCTTAAAAATGTGCAAAGTGGTTTAGTCCACACCAGCGGCCAGGGGCTGCACGGCCACATGTACAGCTATGAGACATCGCATATGCCGACAGTCAGCCAGAGCTGGAGGCAGGAGAGTCAGTCATGTCTTTTCCCAAGAAAGGGAAATCTGGCTTCCAGAAAAGAAAAGAAAAGAAAAGAAGGAGAAGGAGGAAAAGTTAATTGAACAGAAGCAAGTAGAAGGAAGGTGAGCAGCAGCAGAACACAGTTTTAGCTGATATTAGCTAGCTCTCAGAAGCTGCATTCATGTTAGGTGTTCAGTGTTAAACGCCTTTAGTTTCACCATCAAGATCAAATATATATTAATTAGTGTTATCAGTGAAAACACTAATTAATATATATATATATATATATATATATATATATATATATATATATATATATATATATATATATATATATATATATAAATCAGAATTATTATCGCGGGTGGCCGCCGCCAATTAATTCGCGGACCTCGCAGTAAAAACAGGTTCATTCTGTGTGGATATTTCAGCTCCTTCCCAGTCATGGACCAGGACAAACTTGGTATCGATGGATTCGTGGTAATCTCAGGAATGAGAAGCTGCCACTGCTTTTTCGTATAGCATGATGACACTGGTGTTAGAGGATTGTTATTGACTTGGTTAGATATTTTAAGCCTATTTTAAATTTCTTTATATTTGATCTTGAAAACGGACAATCTTATAATTTGGCTGATAATGCAGGGATTATAACATTTAGAGTACATTACATTCACAGAGAGAACCTGGTTTATTTCATGTCATATGTATTTAATATATCAATATATGTCAGTATTAGCAAAGCTTAACATCATGAACCATGACAGACATGACTGAAGAGCAGATGAAGATATCATGCCAGGCACTGATGAGAAAATATTACAAGGATCTCACAGCTGAATTTGAGAATGAGATGCTACACCTGAGAACAATATATGGTGCCACATTCCCACACATTCGGTCTCCTCTTGAGCTGCTTAATGCCATACAGGATGCAATTACAGAGCATTTTTGGAGAAGTTTGTATTGGACTGAGGATATTTTGCACACTACCTGTGACTGTTGCTGGGGGTGAACGGGCTTTTAGCAAACTGAAACTGGTGAAAAATTATTTGAGATCAACAATGTCCCAGGATAGACTAAACAGCCTAGCTCTTCTTTCTATTGAAAGCCAATTAGCCAAAGGATTGGACTTTAAAGATCTCATAAATGATTTTGCTAACATGAAGACCCATCAGTGGGCATTTACTGGAAAATAAATTCCAGGATTTTTGTTTGAACACATTGTTGGCAAATAAAAATAATTATATGTGAAGTCTGGGCATTTCACTTTTATTATGCTGGCATTTGTATTTGCTCAATATAGAGGTTAAACTAAGATCATATTTATTATCTTGTCTTATAGCATGACAAAAAATGTGTAAGAGAGATATTAAGTAATTGAGCATGGGGGCCCACCTAGAAGACTTGTACCCAGGGCCCAGAATTTGGTGCTACGCCCCTGGCCTGCATACTACAGTCTGATGACTTTTATGAATAAACAACTCTCTAGTTTACAACCAACAACAAATTATTTTACAACCCAGACTTCTCAATTTCTCTCAGATACAAATAATGTCACAATCTGCTCCTGCCTCCCTGACTTTGACTCTCCCCTTCCTCCTGATTAGTCTTTATTGTTCTCACCTGCCACTTGTTATCTTCCCATGTGTTCCTGATTGTTTCCTTGAGTATTTATACCTCCCGTCTTGTTTGAGTCTTTGTCGGATCATTGTTGTTGTATGTCGTGTTGTTCTTGTTCCCTGCTATATCCTGCCATTAAATCCACTTTTATTTTATCCGTGCCTGCATTCCTGCCTCCTGATTTGCTCCACCACACAAGGTCCGCCGCCATCCACTCCTCAACATGACAGAATGATCCGACCAACCTGGACTGGTGGTGAGCTCCAAACCATTCTGCCTGGAGGATTATTTTTTCCTTTTGCTCCTGTTCAGCAGAGGGAGATTTCGGACTTGAGGGGTTAACGGCGCATCCTATTTGTTCTTGGGGTGTTCGAGTCCATTGAGGGGTTTGGA